ATGGCCCGCAATCACAAATTCCTATTTAACCTGCAGCACCACACTGATTAACATAATTAGGGGAAAGAACGGTGATCCAATCTCCAACCCCCAGGAAGAGGTTTGCAGACTTGCTGAGCATATCTGTGAAGTCCTGGGGGAGGAAATATCCCTCAGACTGGAAAACATCATGGGACAAAGTGGAGATGACCCTGCTGGGGCTGCAGTGCCTCAAATATTAGAGGAGGAAGTCACCCACTGTCAGTGGCTGGCTGAGGTGCCATCTGTTGAGGAAGCATGGAAGGCAATCCAGAGTCCAGTAAAGGCACCGGGCAGGGATGATCTCCCAAGTGAAATGCTGAGGGAGGGTGGAATTTGTGTGCAGACTGCCCTACATGACATAAAAAACAGTCTGGGCGACTGGATGGGTTCCACAGGATTGGAAGGATGCCCTGGTGGTCCCCCTCTTTGAGAAGGGTCGCCCTCTTTAAGAAGGGGGACCATACAGACTGTAACAATTACAGGTGCATCTTACTCCTCAGTGTGCTGGGAAAGGTCCTGGCAAGGATTATTCAACATCGTCTTGCTAGGCACGCTGAGGAGAGGCTTGCAGAGCACGAATGCAGTTTAAGGAAAGGGCGGTCGTGCACAGATTCCATATTGTCTGTCCATCTGCTATAGAGAGGTGTAGGGAATTCCAATAAAACCTACATCTCTGCTTTATTGACCTGGTCAAGGCCTAAGATACCATCACAAGGCCTGGGCTCTAGGTTGTTCTTCATGCTTTCTGAGTCCTGGACCCTCTGCTCATGCTCAGTAAAACTACGTGGCCAGGAGTCAGTGCAATTCCCTGTACACCTTGGGGTGCGACAGGGATGTCCTCTGGCTCCAACATTATTCAACATCTATTTCGACCACGTAGTTTGTGAAGCCTTCACTAGCTGTACCGGAGGATTTTCCATCTGGTACAGACACAATGGGAGGCTGATCGATGCCCGGGTGCGGTCAAGGGATGGCTCTCTATTGGTCAACCACGTTATGTGTGTCGATGCTCTGGTGATTGCTGCTCAATCAGAAGAGGCGGTGGAGGAACTGCTGCTGAACCTGGAGTTTGCCACTCAGAGCTGGGGCCTTACCATAAGCCCCACCAAAACAAAGCACCTGCCTGGGTATTTTGTACCATCGTACAATCCACCCCCACAACACACAATAGCTGATGGGCCAGTTGTGGAGAGAATGGAGTTTCCCATACCTGGCCAGTGTGCTCATGACCAGCTCCGGTTTAACAGCATAGGTCTCACTCCACTTTGTGGAAGTTACCTGGTATGTCGCTCGGCACTAAGCTTCAGGTCTTCTCGGTCACAGTCATTCCCTCCCTTCTTTACGCTTGCGAAACGTGGACTCCCCTAATGGAACATATTCGCTGGTTAGAAACATTGGAGCTAGCCTGCGTACGATCCATCCTGGGTTTAACCAGGCTGGATTGTGTGAGGAGCTCACAAATCCTTGAAAGATCTGGACAAGGTCCCATCGGTGAGCTCCTCCGGCAGGCAAGGCTGCGTTGGATGGGTCATGTAGCCCGCATACCCAACCACTGCATGCCTAAAGAGCTTTTGTTTGGCCGGATCGATGGAGCTAAATGGGTGCGGCATGGGCTAGAGAAGAGATGGAGTGATGTGGTACAGGAGGATGTGGAGTCAAGTGGACTTGCCGATGACTGATACTAGCGGTGTCAAGATTGGCCTCTGTGGAGGAGGCTCGTGAAGGACGCTACTCGGCAGTTGGAGGCAGTCGCCCTCCAACAACAATGGTGGGCGGAGGAGCAATGCTCACAACAAAGAGCGGAGCGCCGGGTGGCTAAAGCACAGCAGGTTGGCACAGTAGGGGGCAAAGGTGGAGTCCCTGACCCTCTGATCACGATCCTTTAGGACCTTCATGATGGTGAGCAGCCCCACGTAAAACTACGTGGCCTGAGTCAGAGCCATTCTCTCTTCACCTTGGGGTGCGACAGGGTGTCGTCTGGCTCCCACATCCTTTTACATATATTTGGACCACGTAGTTTGTTAAGTTTTCAATGCCTCTACCGGAATAATTCCCATCTGGTAAAGATACAATGGGAGGCTGATTGATGCCCGGGTGCGGTCAAGGGATGGCTCCCTATTGGTCAACCACGTTATGTATGCCAATGATTTGGTAATAGATGCTCACTCAGAAGAGGAGTTGGACGTGCTGCTGCTGAACGTGGAGCTTGCCACTAAGAGGTGGGGCCTTATCATCAGCCCCACCAAAACTAAGCACCTGCCTGGGTAATTTGTACCATCGGACAATCCACTCCCACAACTCCCAATTGGTGATGGGGCAGTTGTGGAGAGAGTGGAGAGTTTCCCATACCTGGGCAGTGTGCTTATGACCGGCTCCAGTTTAACACTCCGAATCAGTCGAGCAGCAATATCTTTTCATCGATTTAAAGCATTCGTGACTGCAAGGATTCATCTTCTTTGGTTCTTTCGGTAAAGTCACGTAGAATGAGAATAAAATAATAAATTGATAAAATAAAATAACACAATAATATTCTCACGACGTTTCGGCCACAACACAAGCGGCCTTCATCTGGAGGACAGCGGCCTTCATCTGGAGGACAGTTCACTCCTGCGCTGTCCAGACAGTCTCGTCCCTTCACCTGATGAAGGCCGCTTGTGTTGTGGCCGAAACGTCGTGGGAATATGATTGTGTTAATTTATTTTTTCAATGTATTATTTTATTCTCATTCTACGTGACTTTACCGAAAGAACCAAAGAAGATATTTTCATCGGTTGCGTAACGCTGTGTGGAACCTACCTGGTCTGTCGCTCCGCACTAAGCTTCAGGTCTTCTCGGCCACGGTCATTCCCTCCCTTCTCTACGCTTGCGAAACGTGGACCCCCTTAATGGAACATCTTTGCCAGTTAGAAACATTTAGGCTAGCCTGGCTACGATCCATCCTGGGTGTAACCAGACTGCATTGTGTGAGGGGCTCACAAATCCTTGAAAGATGTGGACAGAGTCCCATCGGTAAGCTCCTCCAGCAGGCAAGGCTACGTTGCCTTAGTCATGTAGCCCGCATGCCCAGCCACCGCATGTCGAAACAGCTTTTGTTTGGCCGGATCGAGGGGGCTAAACGGGCGCGGCATGGGCTAGAGAAGAGATGGAGTGATGTGGTACAGGAGGACGTGGAGCTGAGTGGACTTGCCGATGACTGGTACCAGCAGTGTCAAGATCGGCCTCTGTGGAGGAGGCTCGTGAAGTACACTACTTGGCAGTTGGAGGAAGTCGCCCTCCAACAACAACGGAGGGCGGAGGAGCGATGCTCACAACAACGAGCGGAGCGCCGGGTGGTTAAAGCACAGCAAGTTGCCACAGTAGGGACCACAGATGGTGCATCAGCCAGTCGTCTCAGTCAGTCGACCCGTGGCACCTGGGTCTGCCCCGTGACCTCCTGCCAGCGGGCGTTCGACACTTCACGTGGCCTCAAGGTGCACATGACCTGGCACAAGCGTCGTGTTGACGTCACCGCCACTTAGTGGCGAATGGCGGTTGTTGTTGTTTGAGTGAGTGTGTAAGTGTGTGTGTGTGAGTGAAACTGGATGCGTAGCGGGGTGTAGGCTGCTCAGCACCCGAGGGGTCACTTAAGCGGCTCTCCCGGGACGCTGCGAGAATTTGTTGTCTGCAAAATCCGCGACGGATCGCGCTGCCCGCCTGGCCTGGAGCCACTGCGCCTCACTGATCACCAAGCCATCGCTGCTGCTGCACCGAGGAATGAGCCATGGACATAGTGGGAACCCCCTTCGCTCGCATTGGTGACCTTGTAGAAGGAAGCTTTTAAACGCAGTGCCGCGTGTTTATCCTTTAGTAGGGAACGCAAACGAGTCCCGGCCGTGTGTTCAGTGTAATTCAGGTCCGGTGTTCCCACGAGTCCGACGGGGGCGGAGAGTCCAAGGCATTCGTTATCCGCTGTGAACAACCCGCAGAGCCGAAAGGAGTGAATCCGGGTTCAAATAACGGTTTAGAGTACAGTATTTAGAGAATTTGAGTACAGTATTTAGAGTAGTTGGCTGCTATACATTTCCAAAATGATGAGCCACTTTGTTGAGCTATCATTTGTGATGGGCAGGTCGCATAGGAAAAATAAGCGAATAGCTCAGTGCGGCATTACACCTGGTAAAATAAAATAAAAATTTAGTTTTATTTGTATTCTCTTTTTCACAATCATGGTGAACGCTGATGGGCATTTGTGTTGCTGCGTGTGCATGCGTGTTGAGTAGCCGTGTGTGTGAATGTTAAACAACAATGCAGGTGAAGTAAGCGGTGTGAATGGTCGGCACGGGGATCTGCAGTCTCAGACAAGGTGAGAGTGAGAGACGGTGACATCGCCAGCAGTGGGTGATGGAGGCAGGTAGAGTTGGTGATAGATTCACACTGCTAGCAAAAGGCTCAAGATTCCAGGATGGGTAACGGGAGTATACAGAAAAAACTCCATCTCAGATGCCACAATGACATTCAATCAATTCGTCACGTTGGTGTAATTACACTGAGATGGAGGTGCAGGACATCATGATATATCTACAACTATACCAACTTTTTTTATTTTATCAGGCAAGACTCACTGAGCTGTGTAGCCCTTTTGCAGAAGCGACTTGGACACAAATGACAGCTTTTCACGAAGAAATGTATTGCAGCCAAATATTCTAAACACCTGATGTTGATTGTCAATGTGGAGGGAAAACCAGAGAGAGAGAGAAAGACGCAAACTTTAAATATAAAGCAGGCGTCAGGGTCGGGATCAAACCCACCACCTCCTGTATACTGGACGAGGGAGATAACATCTTGCCACCAACTTGCTGTAAAAGGATGAGTTTATCTCTCGACACTCATCTCAAGAATGAACGACCGTAGTTGAGCCTCGCAGAGTTATTTTAACAACAGCACTCATTTCTTTATATGTTAATGTGTGAACAGTAGCCGTGTTCACCTTAAGGCTGCTGTTTGTGCACTTAGGGGCACGGGGTCACATGCCAGGCAATGTCTCGTGATGTCAGTGACGACAATGAAAATACTTTTAAGTATTTTACTTCCTTCTTCACTGTCGCTATAAGAGAGAGGTCCTGGTCCAGCGTCTCTCTGAGCCACACAGCGAGCGATCTCATCGACGCCTTGGGTCATGGCGAGCGCGACTCCCAGTGAGAGTGTGGACAGTGAGCTGTGCTGCTCCATCTGCTTGGACACATTCGTTTGCCCCTCCACGCTGAGCTGCGGACACTCGTTCTGCCTGCAGTGCCTGGAGGCCGCCTGGGAGACGGTGAGCAGCTTCAGCTGCCCGCAGTGCCGAGCGACCTTCCCTGTGCGACCCCAGCTGAGGAGGAACGTGGCCCTCGCGAACCTGGCAGAGCAGCTCAGAGTTGGAGATGGGATGGCCACGGCCATCGTGTGTGACATCTGCGGTGATGGCCACACTCCTGCAGTGAAGACCTGCTTGAGATGCGAGATGTCCTACTGTTTTTCACACTTCAGGACTCACGTGGAGAATCCCAGGTTGAGAGACCATGCTGTGGTGGATCCCACTGCGAGCTTGGATGAGAGAAGTTGCCCTCAGCACAGTGAGGAGCTGAAATTCTACTGCAGAGTAGACAGCAGCCTGGTCTGCCCATCTTGCACAATCGCAGGTGAACACACAGGACACAAGGTCTTGACACTGAAGGAAGAGCACGAGACACGGAAGGTGAGGCCTTCAGAGTGAGACACCATAACACAATCTGACCAATTCTGTCACTTGGTTACACAACATCTGATGAAAAAACTATAGTGTGTTCATGCTCTCCCTATTGAATCTCTGTCTCTCTGCCATTTCAGGAAAGATCATCAGGATGTATTGAATCCTAGGCTTTCATTAAACATAATTGCCGTATATTATTTGGTTCTTTCGGTAAAGTCACGTAGATAGGGTCAAATAAAATAAAAAAGAACAAAAAACTATGACGTTTCGATCGCAACACAAGTGGACGTATAAAGTAATTAAGTGGACATAGAGTTTGAGACTTATGTAACAGCCACCTGATAAACAATTCTATTTGATGTATCTTGTAAACGACACAGCTGTGGTCACATTGGCCCATGGGTCCGAGTGGGTAGAGCACGGCTCCCAACGGTCGCTGCTACAACGAGGCATCAGCTTACCCACTCCCCGTGCCCACCGTCTCAGTCGACGTACAAAGGCAGCGTAGAGATGAAGGCCTTCGCTGTAGAAGGGTCGTTGTGGAGGGAAGGGCGGTGTGAGGGGTGGCTCAGGGGGCTGGAGTCTCCCCCTGGTGACGTATCGTCTCTCACTACAGACGCGCGTAGGGGAGGAGACGCAAGCGGTGGAGGAGAAGAGGAAGGAGGCGGAGGAGTCCGTGAAGTGGATGGAGGCCGCTCGCAAGGAGGCGCAGGTACCGTGTCCGGGTCTGGCTCTTTGACCCCCGTGACCTCCACCCAGTGTGTAAGTCGTGGAGGTCAAAATGCATTCAAGCGAATTTCGTGCAGCTTCATAACTTTTGACGCCTCTTACTTTAACTATATTATTCACTTTCAAACTCAACATTAACTATGAGAGGGGTTGCACGTTTATGGCATTCGATAGCCACATTGGCGAGCCTGCCGTGAGGTCGGGTTACTGGGCATCGTGTCTTCCACTCTTGTGACAAAAAAATGTATAGTGCCACGGATTATTGGGGTGTAGCTGTGGTGCAGCTCCACCCCGCACCGCATAACTGCACCTCACGCCGTCCCTTAGTTTATTTTAACTAAAATATATATTTTTTATTTTACCAGGTAAGGCTCCACTGAGCTGTGTAGATTTTTTCAGAAGTTAATCTGGCTTTCACAAACGATAGCATCTCAATAAAGTGGCTGACGTGATGATCACGTGACAATATATAGCAGCAGACCCATAGAGATATATAACGACCCATAGAGATACATAGGGACAAATAGTGATACATAAGGACACATAGAAATGCATAGAGACCCATAGACTCAACTATTTTAATTTCACTAGGTAAGGCATAGATACCCATAGACTCAACTATTTAAATTTCACTAGGTAAGGCCCCACTGAGCCATGTGGCTCTTTTGCAGAAGGAACCTGAATATCACAAATAATAGCTCATTAAATGGCTACTCTAAATACGGTACTCTAAACGCTTGCTTGAACTCAGAGACACTATTGTGCTCTGCGGGTTGTTCACAGCAGATAACAAATTCCTTGAACTCTAAATCCGAGTCGGACTTGTGGGAAAACCTGAGCTAGATTACGCCGATTCTAGATGTGGAGAGAAAAGCGGGAGGTCTCAGACACAAATCCACGCAGGCATCAGGGTCGTGGTCGAACCTACGATCCCCTGTATACCTGGCGAGGCAGTTAACATCTCGCCACATCTCGTCGGACCCACGAGGGGGCCCCCACCGTACTCCGAGTGCCGAGTCTCAACATCCACGACCCCAGCGCCCTCTAGGGGAGAAACAAGAAAAGAGCGGCACCCCTCTTGCCCCCTTGGCATGGGTCGACTCAGTCCCATGGGTGCCTCGTCACTGGGGCATGATCCATCACTAGGGAATATTATTTAATTATTTGGCCAGGTGAGGCCCACTGAGCTGTGTAGATCTTTTTCAAAAGCGACCTGGCAATCACAAATGATAGATCAACCAAATGACTGACACTATCATCACGTGAATATGTATATCAGCAGCCAAATAATCTAAACGCCTTAAGCTACATAGGGACCCATAGAGACCGAGAGTGATAAATAGGGACATATAGAGATACATAGAGAACCATAGAGATATATCGGGGGCCAAAGAGGCCCATAGATATACATAGGGACACATAGAGATACAGAGAGACCCATAGATATACAGAGAGACCCTTAGAGACAAATGGAGACCCCTAGATATAAACAGGGACACAGATATGCATAGAGACCCAGAGACTTCACTTTTTTATTTTAGCAGGTAAAGCCCCACTGAGCTATGTAGTTATTTTTCAGAAGCAACGTGGCTATTACAAATGATAGCTCAACAAACTGGCTGATTTTAAGGTGGAAATTTATAGTAGTCAAATACTCTAAACGCACTTCGTTGATCCTAAATGTGGAGGCAAAAGCCAGAGGACCCAGAGAAAAATCCATACGGCAACAGAGAGAACAACAAACTCCAAATATACAGGCATAAGGATCGGGATCGAAACCACGACCTGCTGTATACCAGGCGAGGGAGTCAACATCTCGTAGCCACCACGGCGCCCACACGCACACACGGAGTGGCTCATGGCTCAGGGAGTCAACCGTGGTCCCCGTGTCTCCGCAGGAATCGGTGGCCGGGATCAGGGGTCGCATCATGGGCAAGTTCGCCCGCCTAAGGAAGGCTCTGGACGAGGACGAGAGGGAGGCTCTACGTCGCGTAGCCGTGAAGGAGCGAGAGCTGCTGTCCCGGATAGACGAGGACATCGCTCGTCACAAGTGGGAGATCGGCGAGATCCAGGAGGTGGCCGCTCGCCTGCGCGCTCTGCAGCACGAAAGGGACTCGCTCGCCTTCCTGCAGGTGGGGAGCGCCTCTGTGGAGATGCCGTTTGGGTGCTCAGAACAACAGACTTGGTAGTGGCAGCAGGGCTCGTGGTCCAAGGGTAGAGACTTCACTCATGATCTCTCTCTCTTCCACAGGGGCACCTTGAGGTGACGCACAGGTACAGATCCTTAACGTCTCACGGTTTAACACTCAAAACACAGGATATGTGTGTTAGACACATGGACTGTGTGTGTTAGACACAGGGTGTATGTATGTGTGTCGGTGAGACACTGACTGTGTGAAATAATGGCTGTCTGTAAGACACGTGCTGTGTGAGACATGGGCTTTGTGAGACACGGGCTGTGCGTGAGACACTGGCTGTGTGTGAGATACAGGCTGTGTGTGAGATACTGGCTGTTTGACAGGGGCTGTGTGTGAGACACAGGCTGTGTGAGCGGTAGTGTAGCGGCTAGCGCGCTGTGCCGTAAACCCGGCGACCCGGGTTCGATTCCTGCTCAAGGCCAACTCCTGTGACGATTATCTGAACCGGTCCTGGGCCTCCCCTAGGGAGACTCAGCCTCAAATGAGAACCAGTTGCAGTGTGTAAACATCGCCAATATGGACACAAAGGCTGGTCGGGCGTGCTGCTAGCCACCCATCCCCCCGTGTACCATTCCAGCTTTCATAGGTGCTCGGTAACACCACTTGCCCCTACAGTCTAAGGCTATATGGAGGATCTTTGTCTTTATCTTTGTGTGAGAGACTGCCTGTATGATACACTGTGTGTGAGACACTGCCTGTGTGTGACAGGGGCTGTGTGTGAGACACTGGATGTGTGTGAGATACTGGTTGTGTGAGACACGGGGTATGTGTGAGACACGGGCTGTATATGAGCGGGCTGTGTGTGAGACTGCCTGTGTGTGACACGGGCTGCGTGTTAGATACTGGCTCATTCAGACACGGGCTGTGTGAGACAATGGCTGTGTTTGAGACACGGGTTGTGTGTGTGACACGGGTTGTGTGTGAGACACGGGCTGTGTGTGAGATACTGGCTGTGTGTGAGTCACGGGTTGTGTGTGAGACATGGGCTGTGTATGAGATACGGGTTGTGTGTGAGACACTGGATGTGTGTGAGACACGGGTTGTGTGTGAGACACTGGATGTGTGTGAGACACTGGCTGTCTGAGACAAGGGCTGTGGTTAAACGAGGCTGTGTGTGATGCTGTTGGTGGTTGTCTCAGGAGAGAGATCTCAAAGGAATCTGCACCCCCACCTCCCACTTCACTGGACGCCACCACGATCCGCTCCCTTGAAAGGGCCATGCGCAGACTCCTGCCTCTCGTCTGTGAGTTCCTCAGTCTTGCACCCGCGTCTCCCGCTGTGTTGCACTGCACTTCTGTGCTCCCCACCTTCATCAACTTTTCATTTTATTTTTACCAGGTAAGGAACCCACTGAACCATGTCGCTCTTTTTTTCGGACGCGACCTGACTATCACACATGAAAGCTCTTCGAAGTGGCTCATCACGTGGATATATATAACATCAGACACATCCTCTGAATGCAAATTGATTCTAAATGTGGAGAGAAAACGCGAGGAACCAGGAGAAAATCCATGCCACCACTTGGAGAGAAACCCAGACTCTGAAAGAGAGCGACATGGATCAGTGGGCTCTACCTGCTGAAATAAATTAGTTTAACAGTTTTAACATTCTAGTGAACTCTACTACTGGGTACTGGGGCAAGTGCTGTTAGCGAGCAGCATCACCTATGAGCACCACGCCCGGCCGCCTTTGTCTCCTTCATGCCAAATGTTTACACATCACACCAGCAGAGGGCAGTGCAGCGTGAACCATTGTTTTACTGTACCGCTACGGTTCGACATTCACGATCCCCACCATCGCCAACGCACACCGACGAGAGCGGTGAAGTTTGGTCAAATAACCCCCCCCCTCCCCATGACGCAGACAGCGCGGGGAGGCGCTCATCCAGCAGCGGAGTGACACACAATGTCTGTGTGTGGGTGTGAGAGTGTGCGAGGCTGTGACACACAATGTCTGTGTGTGTGAAAGTGTGGGAGGCTGTGACACACAATGTCTGTGTGTGGGTTTGAGAGTGTGCGAGGCTGTGACACACAATGTCTGTGTGTGTATGTGAGAGTGTTCGAGGCTGTGACACAATGTCTGTGTGTGGGTGTGAGAGTGTGCGAGGCTGTGACACACAATGTCTGTGTGTGTGTGAGAGTGTGCGAGGCTGTGACACACAATGTCTGTGTGTGGGTGTGAGTGTGCGAGGCTGTGACACACAATGTCTGTGTGTGGGTGTGAGAGTGTGCGAGGCTGTGACACACAATGTCTGTGTGTGTGAGAGTGTGCGAGGCTGTGACACACAATGTCTGTGTGTGGGTTTGAGAATGTGCGAGGCTGTAACACACAATGTCTGTGTGTGGGTGTGAGTGTGCGAGGCTGTGACACACAATGTCTGTGTGTGGGTGTGAGAGTGTGCGAGGCTGTGACACACAATGTCTGTGTGTGAATGTGAGAGTGTGCTAGGCTGTGACACACAATGTCTGTGTGTGGGTGTGAGAGTGTGCGAGGCTGTGACACACAATGTCTGTGTGTGTGAGAGTGTGCGAGGCTGTGACACACAATGTCTGTGTGTGGGTTTGAGAGTGTGCGAGGCTGTGACACACAATGTCTGTGTGTGGGTGTGAGAGTGTGCGAGGCTGTGACACACAATGTCTGTGTGTGAATGTGAGAGTGTGCTAGGCTGTGACACACAATGTCTGTGTGTGGGTGTGAGAGTGTGCGAGGCTGTGACACACAATGTCTGTGCGTGGATGTGAGAATGTGCGAGGCTTTGGAGGCTATTGTACAGGCGTCGTGTTTGTAGAGATACACTGTGAGAGTGGCGTTAACATCGTGGTGCTGGCATCATCACCACTGACTGGTCACACCATTGTTATTATTATTCACGATTGATAAACAGTATGTGTACACAGATACAAGCAAATATTTGTATGTGTACACAGATACTAACGAATATTAGTATGTGTACACTAATACTAACGAATACTAGAATGTGTACACAGATACTAACGAATATTAGTATGTGCATACTAATACTAACGAATACGAGTATATGTACACTAATACTAACAAATATGAGTATGTGTGCACTAACACTAATGAATATTATTATGTGTACACAGACACTAACGAATACTAGTATGTGTACACATATACTAGCGAATTTTCACATGTGTACACTAATACTGACGAATATTAGTCCTGTATGCATTTGTTATATGCGTGATAATCAATGCATCACGTACTGCGGTACGACCACAACAACACAACAGACAACACAACACCACGTGTGTGTATCCACGTCACTTGCACTGCTCGTGCCACTTCTGCGGATGCGTCGCCGTGACCGCTGTGCGAGCGTCGTCGCTGTCCTCACCACAGATGGACGCTCACCGACTCTGGACACAAACTCAGCCCACGACCGCCTCCAAATTTCCTCGGATCTCAGGACGATGACGCGGAGCGATGTCGCCCAGGGTCGCCCCCATCAGACACACCGCTTTGATGTCTATCCACAAGCCCTGTGCTCTGAGAGCTTTTCGTCGGGTCAGCACTACTGGGAGGTGGACGTTGGGAGCGCTGAGTGGTGTTGGGTTGGAGTCGCGTACGGGACGATCCCACGGAGAGGGGTTGGTGCTGAGTGCCGCCTGGGAGGGAGTGACGTCTCCTGGTGTCTACAGAAACATGGCGATAGCTTCTCAGTGTTTCATGGCGGGGTAAAAACATCATTGTCAGTGCCGGAGCCTCCGCGGAGAGTTGGGGTTCATCTGGACTGGGACGCGGGACTGCTGTCATTTTACAGCGCCGACTCCATGGCGCTGTTGCACTCGTTTCACCAAACATTCACTCAGCCCCTACACCCTGGGATGCTGGTGTGGGGTGGTGATGGTAACTCAGTGAGGATTGTGGATCTGAGTTGTGCGTCCTGAGAGAGGTGAACGTGAACAGCGCAGAGGGCAGACGCCACGACGCACGGCGCTCGCCACCCTCGTCACCGTCACGCGCAGTGCCACACCCGTGACTGCCTAGTGGCTGTCGGTGGCTAGGGGCTGCGTGGTTCTCCATCACAACGGGAGGGGGGGGGGGGCGGGCTGAGCCTAAACAATCCTCACAACCTTCATTAGGGAGGGAGGGGGTGATAAAATAATTACCGCTCTGTGTGTGTGTGAAGCCAACGTGGATGTATTCACCCTGGCAGAGGAGTGTGCCTGTGGTGTAGCGGTGCAGTGATTAGCAATGGTGAACTGGGATGTGTTCATACACTGGTGGTGTCATAGGTTGTGGGAGAGATACAAGTGCGGAGTTGGCCTGAACACTTGAATATAAATTGTCTTATGGTTTTTATTGTTTGACTTGCATCACACTGGGATTTTTGCACACAGCGTTGTAATACGGTGTTTTTTTTTCTGGAAGATTTGCTGGTTTATCCAGGATATTTCTGTTGCGCGTCGTGTTGTATATGTGGGTGTGTGAAAATTGATGAAAAATTATTAAAATTAAATGAAATTCGAAATTTGCATAGTTAATCCGAAATTATGCTAATTCGTGTAATTATGCGTGTAACTATGCTAATTAGAGAGGTAATCGTATTAATTTATACGAGTGGGTGTGGTTGTGTTAATGATAGCCTTTATGATAATCAGGCCCCGCCTCGTTGACGAGGTGGGGTTATCAATCAGGATAACGCAATCAATCGTGTGCAGTTACGCTAGTGGCAATTCGGCCTCGTTGTCTAACTTCGTATTATTGATCAGCATAATACAATGATTCTCGCTTTAACACTCCCCGAGTGTTCATATTTTAGGTCCCAAGTTCATATCATTCGCTTTAAAGTTTAGTGAGTGTGGATTGGTGTGTTTATAGTTTAGGTTCCCGAGTTCATATCTCGTCGCAGGATACAGATCTTATGCAAAAACTTCAGGAAAGAATCACACGACCACTTCTGTATTAATGAATTTATTTCCTAATTAAACCTTAACTATAATATGTATGTGACTCTCAATCTCGGAACTTCAACACGGTATCCACACGGTATCAAGACAGTATCATCAACGACTGTACGATTTCACTTTGATAACACATGGACCCCGCATAAAGCGATTGCTGTTAGTGAGAGAGAGAGTCAGGACATGCAAATGCTATGCTACACAAAAGCTTATACATTATAATATGAACGATCATTATGCTTGAAATGGTCAGCACATTATCACAGGCGATTGATTAACATGCAACGGTATTCATATAAAAAGACAGTCAAACAGTTATTATTTCCAAAGGCATAAATGTAACAACAGATCCACCGGACAGACTATAAGATTAGCGAAATGGCTTAGTGTGAGGGTATGCGGCGGAACGTGTTATCTGACGGGAGATTAATTAATTAATTCGTGAATAAGATTGTATGATCAGAAAATCGGTTTAGCACGATTCCTCCCCGGGAGCGTAGCTCCGTGGCGAAGGTGCCAAGGGCTAATTCGTATTGATGGATCGGTTGGTAACTTATGCGATTAGAAGTACAGTCCAAAACAAAATATTGAAGAGGGAAATTATGAATATACTTATAAATGACGGACTGTTATCACACGAACGATGCTTCCACAGCCAGATGGTTCACGGACTTGAGTGTTCGCTTCTGGTTAAGGACCTGTGTATGTTTGAGTGATATGAATTGTTTTGAATAGTCAGTTTTTGGAATTAATTATTTGCGTTGCCATATGCTGAAGTTGGCATCGCTTGTAGGAGAAGTAGCCTCGCTCCCTTTAGAGCGGTGAGGTGTGTGGGAGTGCATCATACGAATCGCCGCCCTCCTCCACGCAGCAGCCAGCCTCTGTCCACGGGGAGAGTTGCTTGATCGCTCTCAGTTCTGTTAAATGGACACCTCTCTCCACTGCTGGATGAGCTGCGCGATCACGCTCGTGCTGGTTCGCTGACAGCAGTTTCTCTCCGCTGTTGGATGAGCTGCATCGGCACGCTCCCTCTCTCTGGGTGGAGAACTCGAACGTGCTCGTTGCTAATTTGCTGAAAGCAGGTTTTTCTCCACTGCTGGATGACTCAAGTCGCACGTGCTCTTGCTCTGGTTTGCAGAAGCTCTTGCTTGGTGCGTCGGTTGCTCTGCAGCTGGACTCAATGTAGAATCAGCAATACTCTGTCTTTCAGCTCTTGGAAATCACACTAGGTGACGCCTCACTACCCTGCGAGTCTTGCCAACGTCAGTGGGTAGCGACGGGGCCACTTTGGCTTCTGCTCGCCGCCCCCTGCTCTGCAGCTCGCCGGCTGGCGACCTGTTGCTCTCGTTCCCGATTGGAACTGCTCCTGAGCCGACCCACTGGTCAAACTCCCCGCGTTCCGACCCCTCCGAGTCGAACTGTCTCCCGAGAGTCGACCCCCCCCGGTCGAACTCTGGTGAGCCGACCCCCCTCCCGGTCGAACTCTGGTGAGCCGACCCACTCCTGTCGAACTCTGGTGAGCCGACCCCCTCCTGTCGAACTGTTCCGAGTTGCTCCTCCGAGTCGAACTGTCTCCCGAGAGTCGACCCCCCCCCGGTCGAACTCTGGTGAGCCGACCCCCCCCGGGTCGAACTCTTCCGAGAGTCGACCCCCCAGTCGAACTCTGGTGAGCCGACCCCCCACCGGTCGAACTCTTCCGAGAGTCGACCCCCCGGTCGAATTCTGGTGAGCCGACCCACTCCAGGTCGAACTGAGGTTTCAATGCTCAGGATCCTCTTTTTATGCCCAAAAATCCCTTCACTCGGATCCTGCCCACAAGGCGGGGTTTCTTTCGATTTTTGCTGTGTCAGGATTTGTCCGTATGTATCTGCGTCTGTGTGTGTGTCCGTACGTGTGTCAGTGTGTGTCCTTGTGCATCACCGACGGTATATTCCGTTGTCATACTCCTACCATAAAACCCACAAGTAAAACAATCAAATGCTATAAATTGTCTCGAAGGCGCCTCTCTGTCTGGGTGCACAACCTGGAGGGAGGGGCGATATTCCCTCCGACTTTCACCGACGCACAAAGAAATGGTTAAAAAGTTTTAAGTTAACATTTCATTTCATCAGAGTTCCACAGTTATGATTCTGTATTAATCCAAGGTCTGGGTCAGCTTCTCGATGTGGTGTTTGACTCGTGCTTCCCTGAGCGTATACACACTCCTACCCCGCGCTGCAGGGATACAAAGACGGCCGGGATTTCCCTTTCTCTCCGACCCTGGGTTTAACATCGCCCTTTGCTTACGTTGCAGTTTTGCTGTGCGCTTGTATTTCTTTTCCTCTCTACTCTTATTTTAACCCTGCTTATTATTTGCGTATGGGTGGAGGCTAGAGCATGTATGTTGACTTAGGAAAACCTGATTTTTATAGGCTTCGGGTCAAGTCCTATAGAAATTATTAAAATATGGAAATACATTTCATATTAAATTAATAGACGGGTGAGGGTTACATTGACGTAGCTTGTGGCAGGGTTCAATTGAAGTGGGTGTGAAGATCAATAACCTTAGCCTACCCTGTCGTTAAATTCCGACTTTAAGTTACTTTAATAGTAATGCAGAACCAATTAGCTTTGTTTTACTTAACTAGATCTAGGCTAACGCAACCTCCCAGTGACCCTGGCTTTGTGTTTACGTCAGCCCCTTTGCAATCCGCTGCGCTCTGCTGTCTATCTGCTCCCTCTGACCCTGGGAGGGCTCTGAACGTCAAAATCGTGTTAGTGGGTCAAGGTAAATATGACCTCCACATGCCATGCTGAGGCCTGGTTTGGTGTTTTTATTCATTATTAAAATTAAAAGAAACAATAGAAATATGTATCTATATGTATTGAAAAATTACTTGTTAATATTAAGATGGAAAGGGAGGCATATACAACAGTCGTCGCTTTAAGATGTTCTCTGTTCATATTTTGTTTGTTGCGGTTGCACCCGACTCAAGAGCCGCATGGCTCACAGGGATATACCTAACAAATGGAACTTAAAAACTTGAGATGCAACAATAATAATATTAATTTTAAAAAGTTAAAATGTATGCGTACGAAAGTGGCGTCGTAACACTTGTTTCGTCGATTCTACAATAAAAATACGGAACATAAACAACAACAACAATGTAGTTGTGTACAGCGTCATCCGTGCTCACTGCATCCCGCAACGCCGTTCATTAATTAAACACGAGGACCAAATCCTCTACATAGCCACTGCCAAGCAAATTAAATCTACAAATAAATAAACAAATAAAGAGACGGTGCCAAACACAAAAGGCGCCAACAATGTCCGAGCTGTTCAAGTTATCTGCTGCGTCATGGACGTGGTGACGTCACTACGCACAATCCCAACGCGGTGACGCCCCCACGTCACCCCTCTCCCCCACCCCCCACGCGCTATCCCCACGCCTGCCCCTCACCACTGCACCATCTGTGAACACAAAGAGCTATGAACACAAAGAGCTTCACAGCTCATCGGATTCCTCCTGCACTACAAACACAGATTTTGACATTCTGGATTCCCGCCACTTGGGGAGTCCCGCGTTGTGACGTCACCACGTCACCACGTTGGCGACAACAAAACCAAACAGAGGCCCTGAGGGGCAACCTGCAGCCTCGCTGCTGTGACCCAGCACTGTGGGGGGGGGGGGGGGGGGGGGATCACCACTGACGCTGCTGGGACCCAGCACTGTGGGGGGGAGGTATCACCATCGACGCTGCTGTGACTCAGCACTGTTGGCGGGGGGGGGGTCACCACTGACGCTGCTGTGAACTCCCAACGAGGGCGCCACGTGGCTCTGGTGCTCACCAGGAGAAGGCGGTAAAACAACAACCACCACCACAACAACCACAACACCCATCACCACCACAGCAACAACTACCACCATCATAACAACCATCACCACAGCAACCATCACCACCACAACAACCAACACAACCACAACCACCACAACAACCACCGCAACCACCACAACAACCACCATAACAACCACAACACCCATCACCACCACAGCAATATCCACCACCATCACAACAACCACCACTACCACCACCACAACAACCACCACCACAACAAC